CCCCCTACAAAAAAAAAAAAAAGGTCCAGGTCCCAGGGGTGTAACAATTGAGCTAGGCCAGTTGGTAGCCACCAGTCCTTCCAGTACCACACCTAGAGTGACCGGAAAACGGAAAGGAAAATGGAAAAACGGACTTTTTCCGAGTGTGTGTCCTGAAGCTGTACTCACCCACATTCTTTTCTCTGCTGCTGGATTTGTCAGATTTGTCGGAGTCGCAGCTGACCTTCTTCCCCTCCACATAGAAATCGCACCCGCACCCATTGCAGTAGTTAGGCTTGCAGACCGCACTGGGCATTCGTATACACTGCTTTCACATATTACCACAAGTCAATTCAAGATACCCCAAATCCGGGGGGGGGGGGGGGAAAGATACCCCAAATCAGGAAAAAAAGAAAGAAAAAGAAAAAGAAAAAGGAAGAGACCCTAATGCGTTTTTTTTTTTAAATACATCTTTCAGCCTCCTGATGAGTTGGTGAAAGTCTGACAAAACAGTATGTCACAGCCCCTTGTTCGTTGTCTTCTTCACCCTCTTTTTTTTTTTTTTTTTTTCGTTCCTCCGTCTCTGCCGACAGTGTACCAGGCAGGGCAGTTCTGTTTGAGGATATAATAACAGCGATTTCTTCAAAAAAAAAAACGAAATTGAAACCGACTGCAAAAAAGGAAAAAAAAAAAAAAAAAAAAAAGAAATTGAAACCGACTGAATTGACCCGATTGAGGTCAAAATTTTTAGCTTTTGAGGGTACAGCGTTCTTGAAACGCCCTACTCCCTGGATGTATCTGGACTTAGCTGGAGTCCAGGGGGTACGGCGAACGCCGTACCCTCCTGGATGTATCTGGACGTAGCTGGAGTCCAGGGGTACAGCGTTTTAAGAACGCTGTACCCTCAAAATCTAAAAATTTCCACCTCAAACGGGCTAATTTAGTTGGTTTCGATTTTGTTCAAAGATTAAAAACATGTCCATTTTGACGAAATCGTTGTTTTTTTTTTTTTGTTTTTTTTTTTTTAAACAAACACACCCCTTCCAGTGCTAGTGGTGCTGGTAAGAGCAGACACCGCTAGCACCAGGGGAGAGGCTCCATCTATTGGTGGGGAGCATCACCTGCTGGAAAACGGGTCCAGCGTCCCATTTACAACTGAATTTGAATGATATCAGGACAAGAGTCTTGAGATATACCTGCCAGCATTGATTATTCTGGAATCCAGAGGATTGACTGAGCAGGTTAAAGGAGAAAGGGCATTGATTACTCTGGAATCCAGAGGATTGACTGAGCAGGTTAAAGGAGAAAGCGCGAGAACCTCTTCGCCCTGTGCCGGGCACCAGGTATCTGGCACTACAACCTAGTTCCTCCCTCCCCTAGACCTTTGCTCATTTCTTTCTTTGCACCTCTTCACCTTTCCTTATGGTGCCCAATCTTGCCTGCCAAGGGCTGAGTGGGTGGGTGAGGGATAGACTCTGTTAGCCTGGGGATAAACCCTAGACCCTAGTCCCCTGCCAAAACCCTCTTTTCTCTCTTGAGTTCATCCCTCCTTCCCGTACCACTGCATTTCTACTAGACAGTTTGACGGGGGGGGGAAGCAATCGGGGGAAATCATCAGGGGGTTTAAATGGGATAGTCGTATCTTTTTTAAAGGATTGACTATGCAGCTTGTTGAAAAGGGAAGAAATCTCTTCACCCTGTACCAGGCGCCAGTTATCTACTGCTGACGGACTAGTTCCTTCCTCTCCCAATTACCATTTACCCAAGAATATTCACCACCTCATTTATCTGTCTCCTAACACCTCAGTCCTTCTGTCCCAGGATAACCTTCCTTTCTTCCTCTCCCAACTATATTTTACTCAAACTTGTTTAGCTGTCTCTTGAACCTTAAAACCTTTCCCCGCGTGTACCTCAGTCATTCTGTCCGGGGATAGCCCCCGTTCCTGCGCATCTTTCTTCCCCGTACCAATCTATTCCTACTAGGCTATTTGCAGGGGGCGGAAAAAAAGTCCGGGAATTCATCACATGGTCGCATTGGGATTGAGCCATCCAGCTTGGTCCAGTCGTGGAAGATGAGTCGGTACTTGTTGCCCTGCATCCCCCCTTGTCCTCTTCCTTCGAAATCGCTGTTTGATGTAGAAATGTAGAAAATTGAGAATCGTTGTCCATGAGAATGAGGGTGTTGGATCGTTTCTCGATTTATGTGTGCCATCCTTGCGCAGGTAATATCAGCCTTGGGCACTGGGCCCTCTATTACAAAAAAAAAAAAAAAAAAAAAAGGGGCCATGCTAATCTTGTCTCTCTCCAGCCATCAAAGGGGATGCATGTTCGCAGGGGTCCCTTGCATAAGCCTTAGGAGTAGTGGTACGTAGGTAGTGAAGGTGAATTGAGAGAATTTGAAAGATGATGAAAGATTTGAGAGAAGAGTATAGCGTGTATTGTTTCCTTTTTTTTTTTTGA